CTAGAGCCACGGCGCACAGAGGCTCCGGGGATCTGCCTCCTGGAAACTGCGGGCGGACCTGCCCGAAGCCCGCGGGTCCCCGGGTCACACCTCCTCACACTTAAACTCGATACCTGCCAAAGATGAATAAAACTCTTCTTTAAAATATTCCACGCTGCTTCTTAATGGAAGTCCTCATGTCCAGTACTGTATGCTTTTCCCAGAGCATCCTGGGCTGTGTGATGCATCCATAACCATTTCTCAGAGGAGGAGTCCAGCCCTTTAGAGAGAGGCCAATTGGACAATAGTCGTCGTGTTTGCTATGTTAGAAACGGACTTCTCTTGCCAGAACATAGTCTTTTCACCATTGAAGAACCACTTTCCGCTTCTGTTGAACTTACAGCAGTGGTACTGACAATGCTCTCAGCTCTTTGAACACTCCCAGGGATCGCATACTGCACTCTTATCCCATGGGATTTGGAGCATCACTCAGCGCAGAAAGGGATGCCAGCGTGTCACCCTCGGGCTGTCTGACACTTTTTCACATTGTGTGTTTGTTCACTGTAATCCGTACTGAGGGCTACAAACAAGCCTTGATGGTGCTCAGCCAGTGCTTCAAGTCCTGCTCACTTGCAGCAAGCAAGGTGGTGTCACCTGCCTCTCGAAGGCTGTGGATGAGCCTTGCTCCAATCCTGATGCCCCCTTCCTGCCCTGTAAGCCAGCCTCTCTGCCTGCCTTTGTTCCTTCTGTCTGGCCACAGACCTTGCTAATTCACCGCTCGGTGCTGCCCGTTACGTGGCCCTCGCCTTCATTGCTGGGACATTTTCCCACTCAGCACTGATCGAGCCATTTTAAGCATGACAGAAGTTCAAAACAGAAATGTAAAGGAAAGAAAAATTCCATTATATAAGCCTTGAACACTGCACAATTTCTGCCTCCCAGAATTTCTACTTCAGGGATCTCACGTTCAGGAACCTGTCACGGGTATAAACAAAGATTTACATACATGAGACTTCCAAACCAACAAGTCCATGCCGACTCCTAGTGACTCTATAGGACAGGGTAGGTGTGCTCCTGTTAGTTCCTGAGACCGTAACCGTTATGGGAATGGAAAGTACCCTCGTGCTCCAGAGTCTTCCTAAACAGCTTCATTAATAAGAGCCAGGTCATGGATTTACTATAGACACAAGTGATGGCACATGTGAAAGTGAAACATGGCTCTCCCTCAAAACCTGCACTGAATCATGTTTGCTGTCATGGTGGTGTCAGTCCTATTATATTATGCATGTGGAAGAGCTGGAAGTGCAGCGTTGTATGCGTAAAGTATGATCCCCAAAGAAGGGGAAGGTTTGGGAAAAGTTCACCAGAACTTCCACAACAACAGGGATCTCCTCTCAGATGGCCAATACTCTGTTCTCCTGGTGGAAGCATTTGGAGAGGGATATCAATAATTGTTGTACAACATGAGGAGTATAATCAGTGGCATGAAATTACACATGTAGAAAGTATTGAACTGGAAAATATTTTGTTATGCATATTTTTGCCTTAATTGAAAAAACACATGAATAACAATGAGTACAGGGAAAAAGAAATTGTTCTAAAATTTATTGTGGTAAAGATTGTACAACTCTTCTTGATATGGCATAACTATTGACTTGTATGATATGTACATGAAGTGCCAATAAACTGCTTTTAAAAAATCAAACTATTAAAAAAAATCAAACTCTGTACTGAATTGGTCATATCTGCTCCAAAAGTCCTCTTTAAGAGATGTTACTTTGAGGTGTACTTAAACCAAACTGAGGTATTTCCAATCACTTCACAACCATGTGAAATCCAGAAAATGAATAAGGAAGATTAATGAATTATGGTGTTGTTGAAAGTATCAACTGTATCATGTACTGGCAGGAAAAAAGACAAAAATGATATACAATCAGAAGGCTACTTAGAAGTGAAGGTGGTAGAAGAGGGGGAGAGGGACGAGGCTTCAGGCAGATGCACCAAGAAATGAATGCAAAAACTGGCATGAAGCAGGGAACCAATAGAGAGGTCTGCGGGGTCGGCCCCAATCCCAACTACGTGGACACACACACACACACACACACACACACACATACACACACCTCCCCTCCCAGAAGAATGCACTACTGAGGACAGCACTGAAGCTACAGCTCAGGAAGATGGGCGCTTCTGATCAGAGCACACAGGAGCAAAGAAAGGGGGAAAGAGAGAGAGTTGAACACATCCTGGCCCACCAAGCCCCAAGGATGATGTTCCTTCCTAGAGTACCCAATGCACAGAGAAGACCATAGGGCCGAGTTCACCATGAGACATGACATCCCTCACTGACCCATATCACTAGGAGGGACAACACTGGAGTCACAGTACTGGAATTGTGTCCGATCAGACCCTATCACACAGGGACAAAACACTAAAGGCATGCAACAGAGCACAAGGGGAGCAAAGCAATGAAGTCCCCAGGGAATACCAAAAGTAGACTTTGGGGCCAGGGCGTGGCACCCCATCAGACTCGACCAGAAAACATGCCTGAAGGTCAACAAACAGACCTGGAACTATTTATAGGCTTTTCTCCTTTTTTGTGTGTCATTGGTTTGTTATTGTTATTTTTGTTTTGTGTTTTCTTTTGTTGTTTTGATTTGCTCTGCCTTGTTTTTGCACTTCTTAGTGTCTCTGCATGTCTATCTAGATAAGAGAGGTGGGTTAAACTATCCGCAGGAGAAAACAATGAGAAAGATGGGTCAGGGGGACACATGGGAGAGGGGAGGCGGGAAAAGAAGTGGATGTAAACAAACCCAGGGATAAGGGAACAACAATT